TTGTTGTGCTGTGTTGTAATGGTATCTTTTTCTCTACTGGATACCCAATTGGCTGGATTCATCCTTACTGATGAATATAAAAGGCACTGCTCTCATTCTTTATTAATGTTGCTTGCCTGTACAGATTGTAACCCCACAACATTATAAAGTCTTCCCATTTCTCATGTCATCCCCAGTTGCTGGGATCATCCTCGTGACTAAATCAGGAACAAGAAAAAAAGAACAAATTAGAAGAAAATAATGGCAAATAAACAGCAGCAGACTGAGGAATTGGGGCAGCAAACATGGCTGAAAAAGATTTTCGTAACAGGGGATTGGGAGGAATATATCTAAACCCCTCAAGAGCACTATTTTCATCCCGACAATTACAACAGAAAGATTCAATGCACCCGTTACTGACAGTGGTAAAGGCGTCGGTGGGGCGATCCTGTTATAGCCCCGATCCCTTCCTCAGAAAGCAGACATCAAGCAACACTGGTAATTTCACTAATTGGTTGATTTCCCTGGGTTGATTAGTTATTTTATACTTCACGACAGACCCCACAAGTGGGGAACAACAATAAAGGTTCGACACAGAGGTATATTAGGGACAACTGTGTGTTTGGATGATGGTTTCTGTAGTGTGGGTTCTTGGCAGTTAATGACATGAGCCAGTTTCTAGGCTCTTCCCTCCAAAAGGAGGGGGCAGAAGGAGCTAAAGGTGGGCTCCAGTTTGGCAAAGTTAAGAAAGTATTTAAACTCCCAAGGTACCTTCCAGTTCTCCAATATCTGTAAGAGAATACAAATAATAACCCTATGAAATGCACAGTGACTGACACATTACTTTTCATTATTAGAAGGACTAGTAAGGAAAGCCCGTCGTGGCGGTAGACGACGGGCCCTAGATAGGAAGGAAGGGCGAGTGGAAGGGAGGAATGGAGAAGAGGAGGTAGAGAGAGAGAGACAGAGTTAGATAGGGGGGAAAGAGAGAAAAGGGGGGGAGACAGAGTGGGGTTAATGGTAGTAATTTGGAAAGAAAGGAAGGGAGAAAGCTAGGAAGGAAGGAAAGAAGGAAGGAAGGAAGAAAGGAAGGAAGGTAGATGGGTAGAAAGACAGAGATTGAAAGAGAGTGAATGGGAGGAAGGATAGTTGAGAAGGAAGAAGGGCAGAGAAACAGAGGGGGGAAACAGAGTGGGTGAGAGAGAGAATGTTGGGAGGGGAGAGAGAGAAAAAGGAGGGGGAGGGGACCCGGCCTGGACTGTGTGGACAGGGGCCGGGGGGAAGCGGTGGACGGAGGGCTGGGCTGAAAGCGTCCCTTACCGTATGTGGGGAAGATGGCCGCTCAGAAGAGCTGGCTCCGATGACTGGCTCCCTCCCCTCCCAGCCACCCAGCCAATGGCAGGGCAGGTTGGCTGAGGGAGCCAGTCATTGGAGGCAGCTCT